AGATAGATAGATAGATAGATAGATAGATAGATAGATAGATAGATAGATAGATAGATAGATAGATAGATAATATGGACTGGAAGCCCCGAGATCGAAGTGGGGAACACCCCCAAAGGTGGTGGAGAATGACCGAGCTAAGATCCTGTGGGACTTCCAGATCCAGACAGACAAGATGGTAATGGCGAACCAAACACTGAAGAACTTGACCTCACTGACTCTACAGATGTCAACACCATCAACTTTAAATGAAACATTGACCATTCTTTTTCTATTACTAAATATCATATAATTTGTTTTGTCTAAATTATTGCAAATTCTGTTTGCATCATTTTCAACGTTCGTTCCAAACTTTTACCCAAACAAAAAAATGTAGTCATCTGCAAACAAAACACATCTAAACAACCCTGACACATTTACCAGATCATTTACATACAAAAGAAACAACTTTGGTCCAAGCACAGAACCCTGTGGAACTCCACATATAATACCAGCAAAATCAGATTTTACAAGATTTATTTGAACAAACYGTTTCCTCTTTGTCAGATAACTAGATACCCACTGATAGGTATTGTCTTAACCCCTTGAAAGAAGATAAGCACAGACAATCGAGTTCAAGTGATGAGCAGACAATCTTTGCAAAGAGAGAGGTTCACTAACACCGGTCTTAACSTGAGGCCAGCATCAGAGAAGCTCTGAAGCTCTCAGCTCAGTGACACTCTTTTTATTAAAACACACAGAGATACAGGATATAACATTTCAACCAATCAAAATATGAATATAAGTGCTCATGCCATATATGGTAGCCCATCCCCTGTTACATTTTGTAAAACATGATAGTATGTTGCTTTGCACACTAAAACAAAGGAAACACAAGAAATGTGTGAAGGTGCAGATGCTATCTGGTTTCAGCTGACACCAGAAGCAGCGTGGGGGGCAGGGCGAGGTTTGTTCAGTTTGGCTGCAGACAGAGCAAACACATTTATGAGAAATGAACACATCAAATGAAAAATATAAAAACCTCTAACACCCACAGTAATACTGGACCTCTCATACCATATTTGTTCAATTTCTCAAGAAGAATGCTATGATCACTGGTGTCAAGTGCTTTCTTTAAATCCACATAAACACTAATACAAATTTGTTTTTGATCAACAGTRTTGTTAGTTGTTTARTCAGATCCATGAGAGSCATTGATGTGAAAACTGAGTTAAMAAGGATATCGGACTGTAATTGGTAAACTTAGATTTCTCACCATTCTTGTAAACAGGAGTTACCTTTCATTCCATCAGGAAATATTCCAGATGAAAAAGATAAATTATATATGAATGTAAACGGCTCAATAACATAACCCATTATTTCCTTCACAAACRTCATATTTCCATCCAATCTTTTGATTTTTTTATCAGTCAAATTTTTTTAACATATTCATTATTTCATCTTTGTCAGTTCCATCAAGGAAAAAGATGTTGGTACAACCCATGACTGTGTGAGTCACACTCTCATTTAYATTTAGTATTTTAGCAGCAAGACGGGCCAACATTCACAAAGTAGTTATTAAATTCATTTACAATTTTGTTCTGCTCATAGATTTCATTGTCATCCTTAACAAAATGTGAAATACCTGATTTTAGATTATTTTTCAAAACACCATTCATTACTCACCATGTTACCTTCATATCATTTTTACTTTTGTCTAGTAAATAACTATAAATCTTTTTATGCTTCCTCATAATCCATACAAATTTGTGTTTATACTTATTATATTTTTCTTCTGATTCTTTCATTTGCAACTTCAAAAAACATGAATACAAGTCAGAGGAGCCCAAAGTGGGGCTCGCAGGCCAAATTTGGCCAGCCAAGCCATTTGATTTGCCCCCCCAGCAGCTGCAAAAGTTACAAGGTTGTAACCTGTTATCCTATGTAGAAACACGGTATTTTCATTGGTCAAATGACTATATAAAAGGGCTGTAGTGAAGGTAGTTTTCATTTATGGTGCTGACTTTATCTTTGAWTTATTAGGATTAAACATGAAATATGAATCGACAACAAGAAATACAGTATTTAGATCAGATTTAACAACACATGTAGATTTGCACACTTTATAAGGCCACAAAAACTCATATTTTATCAATTTGTGAAATGTCCCATGAGCCTTTGAACTTGAGAGTATGGCAGACTTTCTCTAAGTGCACAGACTAAAACAAAAGAGGGCCATTGCATAGCTTAATCGTTAAAAATAAAGGACTTAACTTCAATAAGTATTTTATTTCATGTATTCTATTACGCATTTGGCCCGCAGCCCTGGATAGATTCTCATTTTGGCCCTCTCGGGGAAAATGTTTGGGCACCCCTGATAAAAATTATTCTTTTTTTAAGTAGCATTTCTCAACTCTTTGTCATGTATGGTTTGTCCATAGTACTTGACTTTTTATAATTGTTTTGCACACAGTTCTTTTCATACAGAACTCCTAAAATATTCATGAAAACATCATAAGCTCTGTTCACATCATCAACATACACCTCTCCCCAGATGTTTTCCAAGATCATCCTTTAATTTATCCAAAGCTTTTTTGTATTTGTTTATTTTTTCTTAACTGAGACTGCTTTTGTACTATATTGGTCATTTTTACAAATTATAAAAACTGGTAAGTGATCACTTATATCAGCTGTCAAAATACCACTTATCACTTATTCACTCGTTATAATAGTAAATATGTTGTCAGTTATTGTAGCACTATGAGTTGTGATTCTGGTGGGTTTTGATATCAATGGATAAAGATTCAAAATATACATAGAATATATAAATGTACCAATATTATTTGAATCTTTTGTATTTCCCAAGTCTATGTTGAAATCACCACACAAAATAAACTGTTTTATTACAACTCCCTTCAAAGATGTTCATAATTTTATCAGTGAAAATTTCAATGTTTGATTCTGGTGCTCGATATACACACCTTATCATTATATTTTTTAATTTCTTATTTCAATAGTTACTATTTCCATGACATCATCCACCATCATTGACATTTTAGGAATCATTTTACATTTCATTCCAGTGTTAAAAAATAGAGCAACTCCACAACCCCTTTTACTAATTCTATTAATATAATTTAATTCAAACCCCTCAATATATACATTATCTATGTTTAAATCAGTAAGCCATGTCTCTGAAATTGTCACTACTGTGAAAGTTCTGTATAACTGTTTTAAATAATCTATTATATTGAATAAATTAGCATTTATACTTCTATTAAAATGTATAATGGAAAGACCTCGGTTAAATTAATATTTTTAAATTGTTCATCATTGTAATATTCAGAGTCATTGATTACTGGAAAAAAAATTAGGTTGAGTATATTATCTAGGTTATAAATTTTAATTTCTGAGTCCTCATAAGTTGTCATGTTTAAGTGTATGTACCATCCTCTGTTTATTTTGTTTATTTGTAGTATGTTGTAACAGTTTTTAAGTTTGTGGTTTGTCTCATTTTAATTTATCTGAATCTTTTCAAATCTTGAAGTTCTTTGATTTTTTTGGCCTGTGTTCCTTCCTTCACTTTGATCCAGATATTACTGTTTCTTGTCCAATGTGCCTTTATCTGTACTGAGATGCTTGTGTGGGAATGACAGTTGATGGAGCCCTTGTCAAAGAAGAGTTTCTTTAACCAGTTAGACAGATAATATTTTTTTCTATTTGATTCTATATTAGATTTTTCAAGTTGCCTACATTATAATAAAAGCAGCCAACTCTCCACGACCAGGTAAGACATCTACCTGTCTGATTTCCTATTTACTGTATTGACCATTCACTAAGATTAGACAAGTGATAAACAGTTAGGGTATTTTTACATTGACAATGTAAATATTATTACTGTGGATCCCCTGTATGTGTTGCAGGTAATTGGATCCTAGAACACTCTTTAGATGGAGTGACCTTTGACCCCTGGCAGTTTTATGCCATTGGTGATTCAGAATGTTTGTCTCGTTACAACATCACTCCCCGACTCGGGCCGCCCACCTACAGGAGTGACATTGAGGTCATCTGTACTTCCTACTACTCCAAACTGAACCCACTGGAACAAGGAGAGGTGAGAAAGACCATCTACCTATCGGTCTTCTCACGAGTTAATGTATAACCTATCTCTCTCAGATTCACAGTGACAGATGTCCCTACCTATCAGTTACTAGCATGTCTGTCTGTAATCCATCAGACGGTTCCTTACTCTGTAACCCATCTCTCTCGCAGTTTCACAAAAATAGAAACAGGCTATCTACCTGTCTGTCTACAACCCCTGGCAAAAAGTATGGAATCAGCAGTCTTGGATGAGCACTCATTCAAACATTTCATTCTGTAAAACAAAAACATGATACAATAATAAGGTCATTCCAAAGTGCAACTTGTTG